TTGTTGAAGTTTAAGTACTTGTATTGCTATTTGTGAGAGATAAGATTACTGACTTAATCATCGAAGTGCCCCCGGGTGGACGAACCACCGCGGTATTCTCATATTCTTATTAGCAGGTGTTCAAGCTTAATCTATTATGCCAGTGCCCTCCAGTTAAGTTCCCTGTTTGGTTGTGTGGTCGAAAATCAACACCCACAGAACACACTCAAGCCCCAAGTCTCAACCATCATGTTAGGGAAAATAGATTATTTCTCACAAGTAAATCAATCGATAAAAATAAAAATAACGTGGAAAAATTAAATCAATAACAATACAAGAATTTTTACGTGGTTCCATCAATCTAAGGTATATCCACGTGACCGAAATCTGATTCCACTATTAGCTAAAAGTTCCAAATGATTACAAACGAGACACGAATGGTCTCACAAGTCATTCTTAGGTGAATTTCAATTAATCACAAATAAATAAAAGAAAAAATTTCACTAATTCATCAATCCTAGGTGACTTTCACTAAAAATTTCACAAGTCATTCTTAGGTGAATTCCAAATAATCATCAATCCTAGCAGCCGCAGCACACAAGGGAAAAACAATACTGAAAAAATATTATTGATTCTTGAATTTTTTTTATCAAAGTCTTAGTTGTTACCAGACCTATTATTAAATATTCATTGAACCTCTCAAAGTCAAATATAATATATAAAAATATATTATAATCAACACCAACCTAAATTAAAATTCTTTTAATAAATCAATTAGGTCCTATACTTCACTAAGGAGGAATACCCAACAATTCTCCCCCTACCGACTTGGGTGGAGACATCAACCATACCCTTCAAAGTTTGACACTTTAAATTTTTGTCCATCAACAAAATCTTAGTCAATATATCTGAAATATTATCACATGTGTGAACCTTCTTGAGTTACAACAATTTTGAATCTAACACATCACGAACCTAATGGTATCTCACATCAATGTGTTCCGATCTCGAATAAAAAGTAGAATTTTTACTCAAATAAATAGCACTTTAACTATCATAATAAAACACATACTTTTCTTGCTTCAAACCTAACTCTTGTAAAAATTCCTTCAACCATAACTCTTCTTTGCAAGCTTCCGTAGTGGCGAAAAATTCAACTTTGGTAGTTAAGAAAGCAACACATTTTTGTAATTTAAATTGCTATACCACAACTCCACTTGCAAATGTCATCAAATACCTCGAAGTAGATTTCCTAGAATCAACATCACCGGCCATGTCGGAATCTGTGAACCCATCAAGTATCGGCTTACCATTCCCAAAATACAAACATACTTTTGAAGTCCCTCGAATATACCTTAGAATCCATTTCACTGCTACCAAATGTTCTTTACCCGGATTAGAGAGAAAATGACTTATCACACCAACGGCGTGAGCAATATCTAGGCTTCTATAAACCATGGCGTATATCAAAGAACCAACCGCTGAAGCATAAGAAATTTTCAACATCTCTTCCTTATTTTTCTCACTTCACTACAAGAGTTTACACATTTTGCGACCACTTTTGCCGACCAAAAAAATTTTTGTCGCAAAAAAATGACATTTGGTGACCAAATTTTAATTAGTCGCAAATGATCATTATTTTTGGCGACCAAATATTTTTGGTCGCAGAAGGTTATATTTTGGCGACCAAAAAATATGTTGGTTGCAAAAAGTGGTATACTTTTGCCGACCAATTACAAATTTGGTCGCGAAAACCTTATTTTCAGCAACCAAAAAAAATTAGTCGCCAAATTAGTACTTTTAGCGACTAATATTTTAGTCGCCGTTGATTAAGATTTGGCAACTAAAAAAATTTGTCAGCGAAAAAACCTGTTTTTGCGACTAATTTGACGTTTGGTCGCCAAAAGTTTGGGGGGAAATTTGATTTTCAGTGGGGGGGATTTGAATTTTCTTTCTCTCCTTCGGTGCCCACTCTCTTTACCAAGCCTCACTGCCAAGTCTCAGCCTTTCTTTCTCTCTTTCTCTCTACCTAAGAATCCTCCTCCACATCTTCTCTTTCTCTCTCTCAAAAAACCCCCATATTCAGTTTTGTATGGCAGTTCGCTTGCTAGCATACGAGGTAGCTGACCTCTGCCTAGGCAAGCCGTCTCTCAAATCTCTCTCATGGTCGATGTCATTTTCTACCTCTGCAAAGACGAAAACCTCTCTTCTCCTTCCTCTGCTCTTCTGTCTTGCTCCCCAAACTTCCTGGTCTTGTCAGGCACGTCGAACCCTCTTGCAGGTATGGCTCTCTTTCTCTTTCTCCACTTCCCTGTTCTTCCCCATCATCTATTTACAAAGGAATACATGATTTAGGGCAATCCATTTGCAAAAATTGGGTTTGTGTACTGAAATTGTTCATTGGGAAATTGATGATAGGCACTGGGTATAAACCGTTGATGATTTATTTGAAGCTATCAGATCTGAGGGCGCATCATTGTTTCATATTATTTTTGTTTGTTGGTCTGTATTTTCATGCTATTTGTGTATATTTAAAGCTGCATTCGATACTTTTTTTGGGATAAAAAATTGGGTTTTGGGTTTTGTATTCAGTATTTATGCAATAAAAAATTAGGTTTTGGGTTTTATATTCAGTATTTATACAATGTGCCTGGTAGATTGAGTGATTCACTTTTATATTTTGTTGTATTTGCTTTTATAGATTGCTTGATAATAGGTTTTTCAATGTGTAGAGGGATTTCTCCAATGTCCTCTACATGTTCGATAAATTGCCTCAAAGAATTGACCCCACAATTCCAGCTAAGAATCTATGCATGTTTTATATTATGTGTTATTGATTGTTACTAATTGCAGCCAAGAATTGATTGTTACTGATGTGTAGAGGGTTACTGATTGTTTTACATTATATTACCCCACAATTCCAATCAAGAATTGTGAATTGTGAATTATGAATTGTGAAGAAAAAAAAAATTGTTTGGGGTTTTTTTAATTGTTCTCTTTTTCAATGAAACTCTAAACTTACTAATTTGTAGATTTAAGTTATGATTTATGAAATGAGGGAAAACCATTTGAGTTTTAAAATTTTCTTTTTTTTGATTTACAAATATCACCGATTTTTTGGGTTTATTCTATTTATGAGTTTTATTTGTAACACTAATTTGTGATTTACATGTAGATTGAGTTTTAGGGAATTTTAATCAGAAACTGAATTTTAATCAAAAACTAGTGGAGCATGTCTATTATTTGGTATACAATGATTTTTAGCTTTTATGTTTCTTTTTTGCTTACTCTCATGACTAATAGTAGACAGAACCGAACACTTGCCTGCTAAGGTCAGGGCAAGCTCATCTCTTATTATTTTTTTTCACATCATCCTATTCTCCTCTATGAGCCACGTCCACCCTGTACAGAGCTTCAAAAAACTCATCCATTATCCAAAATTTCAATCATGTATTGCCCGTACAAAAAAGTAGCTCCCTAACTCCTCAAATAGTCAGCCACCCAAGCATTCTTGTTCTTGCCAGTGACACACAAATCTGGAAAAGTCATGGTGCACAGATAATACCCATTCACATCATGCCCAAATCTAATTTGTCTCTAGTCAGCAATCCTGAAGGCTGAATCTCATATTATTGGGAAAACTTGACATACTTTTCTTTTGCCCTTCCATGGAACCACTGCATAGGAACTATTTACTTCCCTAGATGTCTACCCTCCAGCACCATAGCCACTACTTACTTTGAACTGTCTTTTCCATAAACATCCACCTAATTCATGTCTAATGAATTAACCTTGTTTGTGAACCTTAAAGATTCATCGAATTTAAAGGTTTTGATGGAGAATCATTTAAAAGAACACGCTTCGCTACTTGGATGAGGAGAGATTGTTGCAATTTAGAAGTATGCGTATTCAAATTTAAATGAATCTTCTAAAATTAAAATTTCAAATTTCATATTCATTGTCAATTTCATCTAAATATTATATTAACTGATTAGCAAAATGAATGTCTCTGTAGATCTAAAATTGTTTCATAGGTTTAAATTGTTCTAAGAGAGTAAATTTTGGTTTTTCTTCTGACAAGTGCAAAGAAAACATGTTTATGACCTTAGGCAATTAATTTTAACAGGTGATTCCGAAAGTTGTTCACAACACATATTCCAGTGAGTCCCTTCCTACCTTGTGATTTAATTTGTGCTTCCTATTCAAGTAGATCAATCAAGTATGATGCATTTACTTTGTATGCATGCATTATCATACTGATGGATGCTCCTTTGTTTTCTATTTATGCATGAGAGTTTATTACTCTCCAGGTAGTAAATCTGCTTGCATTGTGAGTTCTTTCGGAAAAAGTGTGATTGGCATACTGGTATTTATCCTAGTGAAGTATTTATTTGACATATATTTTACTTCAATAGAAGCGATATATACATACATAGCATTGCATAAAAGAAAACTTGATGTCTCATGTTTCTAAGTCTTTGTATAATGCATGTCAAGTGAGCATGAAATATAAATTATTCAAAGAAGCAAGTGTTTCTATAACATGTCTCAAAGAATTAACAAAGCATGCTTTTAAAAATTTCATATTTCTTCATGCAATGGTGACACCTAGGATGTTATAGGAACTGATGAATAAGGTGAGAGAAACAGGCTTAAATGGAGGAATAGGGTAAAAATGACAATTTTGCCCTTCTAAAAAAGGGGCATGCCATGTACATGGTCATTTTCTGTCAGGATTCCTACCGGATCCAGAGTCCAGATGGAAGGACCACATTTAAAATCGCCTAAAAGTGAGGTTAAAATTGTTGATATTAAAATTGCAGGAAACAAGGTGTGACTTCATTCGAACTACAGGACTAAGTTTATATCTGTACTCTTCTTCTTTTCCCCTGTAGTCATACATACATTCAAGTCGTTTCATTTTTTGACAGCAACGTTCCATTTTCCATGTCATATTTCAATTGGATGGCATAATCATTGTTGTACATCATTATGAGCACTGTCATTATCTTGAATGTACTAACAGATTAATTATAGGTACATGTAAGTTGTTGTAGATGAAATCATTTTTGGAAATGTTGATCCACTGAAGGTAGGTAGAAATTTCCGCCTAGAGTATGGTATATAGATGTCTATGTTTTTTTGATTATGATTCACTTTATTTGTCTTATAGCATCCAAGCAAGTGGAATTTGGGAAAGCTCTTGAAGGAGTTCAATGGAATTTCAGGGAAGATATTGAATGGTGAGCTTGTAAATTGTCATTTTGTTCTGTAATCTTGCATATTGTTTGAGTTAGATGATCTATATAAATCATCAAGGAATGGATCTTCTACAGACTCATTTGTGGCGATTACAGAGGTAGCTTTACGGGAATCCCTCACACAGCTTCATGAGTTAAGTTCTGTAAGTATTAACGATTTTCACCTTCCAAACTTGCCCTCACCTCCAAATGCCTTCAGAGGAATACGTAGGAAGAGCTCCTCATTGAAACGTTGGCTTGCCGTATGCTCAGATGATTCAGCTAAGTGAGTGCATTCTTAATTCCTTGGTGTTGTATATTAGGATATAATGAAGAAATTCATTCGGCTTTTAATTTTTATGCGGCAACTTATAATTTTGGGACCAATTAATGCAGAGATGGAAAGTACCGACCAACTGTTAATCTTCTCCGCAAGTACCTTGGAGATTTTATAATTGCTTCATATTTGGATGTTGTACAAGAATCTGAGTATGATGATACATATATGAAGGAAATAGAGGTAACATCCTTCCTATGCATTCTCTAGGTGATGGATCAGATTCTTTACTTTTTCTTTTTTTGATAAATAGGGATCAGATTAGGCATTGCTTGTTAGTATGACCTAACCATCCGTGAACACACGCAGGATACCTCTAGGTCTACCTGAAAATAATAAAATTTCAATTATTGTAATTGTTAGACCTAAAAACCATTGATATAATATATATGTATTTGGTGAATTTACATCACCACTTGGGGCCTCTCTCATCTAAGTGAATAGCATTGTTATCTTTGAAGATGAGAATTTTAAATCAATTCTTTTATTCCCCAACTCTTCTTGCACATGAATATCTTTCACAGACACTTTCGGTCTCCAAAATTGACTCGTGATCATTTTACTGACTTAAAAAAATTATTTTTCACTTTTTGTGTTTCTTGTGGAATGCAGAGGGCAGTTCTTGTGAAAACTCTAGATTGTTTCTGGAGGGATCATCTTGTCAACATGAACAGGCTCAGTTCGGCGGTATAGTTCATAATTTTGTGGATTCAACTCTTTTAAGTTATTTTATTTTATTTTTATTTTGTGTGTGTGTGTGTGGGAAAAGGCTTATTTGGAATGTGTTTATGTAGGTAAATGTCAGAATGCCCATGTTTCATCTTCTTATTATTTCATCTTCTTATTTATCAAAATTATTTCATCTTCTTATTTATCAAAAGTCTTCTTATTATTTCATCTTCTTATTTATCAAAGAAGCACTCTAGATTGTTTTTGGAGGCATCATCTTGTCAAAATTATTTCATCTTCTTATTTATTCTATTTCTCTGAATGCCCATGTTTCCTTTGCATTTGTAAAGTCTTGACAAGAACTGCTTGGGTCCATTGAGAAAAGCTTATTGTACCTCCCTTAATTTGCTTCTACGTCATGAGGTCTAGGAAAATAAACCTCTATTACATTTTCTTATAGTTACTCTATTGTTATGTCTCATGTTCCAAGTTACATATTCTATCTTCAATTAGAGTTATTAGTTGTATTAACGCATTCCATTATTTATTGTAAATTTTTAAACTTTAATGTTGGTTCACTGGTGGTGTGCCTTGACCTGAAGAAAATAACTATTGTGTATCTTCAGACTCTCTCGGGCATCGACATCTATTTGGTGATACCTTTCTATATTCTTTAAACTATTAGTTCAACCGTCTGTAGACATTTTGAGAGATTTAAAATTTCTCTGACTGTTTGCTAAGTTTAATCTAGCTAATGTTCTATCTGTTCTCATGCTTTTGGTAAGATAGGAACCACAGTATTTACCTTCAAGCTCTACTAAATAGACTGGATAGTTGTCACTCTTAAATATAAGATGCATCAAAAAAATAACCTATCAAATCATGAAAGGTGCTTTGTATAGAGTCTCTTAAGTCAGGATGCAACATCACTAGCAGCTGCATGGTGAAACTAGATCTAGGAATTGAACTGAGAATAGGTTTATCAAGTTTGGTTGGTTAAGTGGGCTGATACTTGGTGTTCTCTCTCTCTCTCTCTCTCTCTCTCTCTCTCTCTCTCACACACACACACACACACACAAACAAGCAACTATTTAAGGCTGATTCTGTAGGTTTTCTTCTGCCTTTTGGCCTCTATATTGTGTCCCCCCTCCCCATCCTCACTTCTTCTTTTTTTTCCCACTATGTGCACATGCATCAAATGGTTTATAAATGTACATCTAAAATTTTTAATATATTTCATAAACTGAGTGAGTCCATAAGCCTTTCAACCATTTACTCATACAATTCAGGATGAGTATGGTTCCACCATGCCATGCTTTTGGTTTTACTAATAGATATGGCATTCTATATTGAAATTCTATTTAATTTGTGAAGCGGAAATGGTGGAGTTTAAAATTTCCCACTTTTGTTCCCTCAATATCCAGTGTTTCATTTTTTTTCTCTTAAAAACATCAAGACCATGTGCCAATAATTTGCAGAATTGTATCTTCATCTGTCTTCCTTTTTTTATTGACCTCTTTTAAGGATCTCTGTCACTATATTGTAATTCAAGATATGGATTGTCAAACCTTAGCTTTATACTGCCATTATGTTATTGTTGTATCTGAACTTCTCCTGATTATGCACTATACCAACTTCATATCATGTAACTGATGTTAGGTTGTTCAACTTTGCCCTCTATTGTACATGGACTCGAGTTCGAGTATTAGGTGCGAGTGCGTGTTCAAGCATCAATTCTTTCTAAACCTAAATTGTAGAGCATTGGAATATGCATCCAAAAGTTGGGTATGGGTATGGGGGCAAGTCTTAAACACTCATTTATAATTCATATTGTATAATATTCTTAGATAGGATGTTGTAAATTTTTAAGAAATATATTTCAAATTAAATAAGATCTAAGAAAAATATGGAATGTATATCTCATTTGTGTGAGAAGCTAGAATTGTTTCTTTACTTCGAAACAATGTCAAATTTTTTACAGGTTGACAAATATCTGCACAGTAAGGAAGAGATGCATTACAAAAAGATTATTTGGGAACAAATGAATAGTAAACATGAAACGGTAATGCTGCCTTTTCTTTGTTCCTTTCTTTCAGATATTACCCTCTTCGAGTGTAGGTAATTTGGAGCAAAAGTTGGTTAATAGTCATGATCATGATGCTGTAAATACCCATGATATGTAGCTAATGAGATGAAATTGATTTGACAACAAAACCAATAACATTTGTTTTATTGTACTCACGGCCTTTTGACTGCTATAATATTTTGCTCTTTAAACCACTCACTAAATCCTGGATTGAATTCTGCTGGTTTGAATTCTTGTCCATTCAAGTCCTGGTTTGAATTCTGCTGGTTTACATTTATGATTTTTATAAGAAATGCATTATTACAGCTTCTGGTCAACAAGACACTTTATGAGAAAACCATAGCAAGTGGCTTTGGCTCAGTTCACTTTCTTCTGGATGCTTCTGAACAGCAGCAAGTGAGTTGATGATTTTATTTATTTATTCATTTTTTCTGCTAGAAGATAGAGACAGGTGTTTATAAAATAAAAAATAAATAAAGAAAAGAAAAAGGAAATGATTGAGAAGATGCTATGGGTTGTTCCCTTCTTTTCTTTCTTATTATTTTTTGGTCTGATTCTTTTCCTTCTCTCAATATGTAGTACAAGGAAGCCATATTGGCTTATGCAATCTTGCTTAAAGCAGAGACCGGCCAGGTTTGTCTTGTTTTCTCCATTTTATATTTCTAATCAGTGAAACAATTGAACACTGCAAATGCTGAATGGAATTTGATATTTGTGATCATTTAATTAATTATAAATTACTATATTTGAACATGTTAAATGGTTGTTTCTAGATTCTATTTTCAATTAAACAGAGAAATTTATTTGAAGGTACTTTTGTTAGTCCTTTAGAAAAGCTAAGAAAGAACAGGTCACAAAAGATTATTCTAATTGCTTGGGAAGGGTTAGAGCTATGAACTTAAATTGAATTTAAGAGCAAAAATTAAACAATGCCAACATTGCCACATGAGCACTTCTTGTGGTCTACTACACTGGGATCATCCCCAGTAGACGTGATTGCAATCAGTGCTCTTATAATATATGTGACCCGTGTGGCTAGGGTTACAAACAGACATGGGATAGGTATCAAGTGAGTTCACCAAGTTTGTTCTGTCTTCTGTGGAGATCTTGATCTTGAACAAAAGTAGACGTCTTTATTGCCATACTAACCCTTTTTTGTTTTTAGTTTACCACATGATTTTTATAAGAAATGCATTATTACAGCTTCTGGTCAACAAGACACTTTATGAGAAAACCATAGCAAGTGGCTTTGGCTCAGTTCACTTTCTTCTGGATGCTTCTGAACAGCAGCAAGTGAGTTGATGATTTTATTTATTTATTCATTTTTTCTGCTAGAAGATAGAGACAGGTGTTTATAAAATAAAAAATAAATAAAGAAAAGAAAAAGGAAATGATTGAGAAGATGCTATGGGTTGTTCCCTTCTTTTCTTTCTTATTATTTTTTGGTCTGATTCTTTTCCTTCTCTCAATATGTAGTACAAGGAAGCCATATTGGCTTATGCAATCTTGCTTAAAGCAGAGACCGGCCAGGTTTGTCTTGTTTTCTCCATTTTATATTTCTAATCAGTGAAACAATTGAACACTGCAAATGCTGAATGGAATTTGATATTTGTGATCATTTAATTAATTATAAATTACTATATTTGAACATGTTAAATGGTTGTTTCTAGATTCTATTTTCAATCAAACAGAGAAATTTATTTGAAGGTACTTTTGTTAGTCCTTTAGAAAAGCTAAGAAAGAACAGGTCACAAAAGATTATTCTAATTGCTTGGGAAGGGTTAGAGCTATGAACTTAAATTGAATTTAAGAGCAAAAATTAAACAATGCCAACATTGCCACATGAGCACTTCTTGTGGTCTACTACACTGGGATCATCCCCAGTTTATATATCTATTAAAATGATAGATATATAAATTTATTCACAACAGTCCCTCCAATAAATTTATTCACAGCACTTCTTGCCGTCGCAAAAAGTATTTGCCACTCCCATATTCGCGACCCCCATTTGCCGTCGCATGGGCCGTCGCAAAAAGTCTTTTCGCGACTGTTTTTTATTATTTGCGACGGTTTATAGCGGTCGCAAAAAGTGTTTTTTTTAGTAGTGTACAGTTTCTAAAACAGGTAATTGTATGATGATAAGCCGCGTGTGTTTGGCTCAAGTTAGATGGAAGGATTGAAATAATCATTTGGTGGGATTATTCATCATATTTACATGAATTCTCAATTTCAAATCTAACAAATCAAGTTACAATATGATGCCATGTTATTTTACTGTTATTTTTGTTCCATTAATCTGAAATTTATTACTTGCTATGAGACAAAGCTACACTGAGAGTTGGCTAATGTATTTCTATACATCCATTTCAATGTCTTTACAGAGCCAAGGTGCCGAGAATGCCAACACGGAAGGCATAATTGCAAAATGCGATACAAAGTTTATCAAGAAGTTTAGCACCGACAGATTGAGTCTGAAATAATTAAGTATGATAATGAATTTGACCACAAGACTGATTACGGTGAAGGTGTTGAAAGCTGCGGAGCCTATGGTGTGGATTATGATTATGAGGATTGACATGAGATATGAAGAGCTTGGCTTTATGTTAAAATTTTAAAATTTATTATTTGATGTTACATTAGTTTATGAGAAAATTTTGTAAAAATATATTTTATTTTTCTATAATTTTTTCTTTCCTGACAAATTCATCACATGACGATGAATATGCTATGAACTTGTGCCCTCACATAGCTTGAGAAAGAAATAAAAGAAAATTTTGATATTATTTATTAGAGAGGTTTTGCACACCTTGTTTTCTTTTTTGGTAAACAAAGCATAACAATATATTAAGATAAAATAGTTCTGGAGTATTCAGCCCCTGCAGCATCCGTTAATTTGAATGATGCTTTAAAATTATAGGTTTATTATGGATTGAATGAATTATTAGGAATTACAGGTGTATTGTTTTCCTGCTTTGGCGACCAATTTATTAGTCGCGACAAATAAATTATTTTTTTTTGCAAAAAATGACAATTGCCGACCAAGAGTTTTGGTCGCAAAAAATACATCTATTGCCGACCAAAAATTTTGTTGGTCGTGGAAACTCACTTTTGCCGACCAACAGGTTTGGTCGCGAAAAGTAACAATTGGCGACCAAACTAATTTTGGTCGCAGAATGTCACAATTGGCGACCAAAAAATTTGGTCGCGAAATGTCACAATTGGCGACCAAACTTTTTGGTCGCGAAATGTGTCAATTGGCGACTAAGAAATTTGGTCGGCAAAAGGCGACTTTTCGCGACCAAAGTGTTTTAGCGACAAAATGAATTAGTCGCGGCAATTAAATATTTAGCGACCAAAAATTTAGTCGGCAAATCCAACTTTTGCCAACCAACGAAAATTTTGGTCGCGAATTACTTTTGCCGACCCTCAATTGGCGACCAAACTAGCGACCAAAAAAATTGATTGCGGATAACTTTTTCCGACCAAAAATAGGCTTTTAGCGACCAATTTTTTTGTTGCTAAAAATGTTAATTCTTGTAGTGCTTGTTGGACATTGATTCGAGCTAAGCTTGAAGTGACTCGCAAATGGACAACCAACCGATTTTGCTTTATCCATGTTGAATCTCTCAATAACCTTCTCAATGTAGCTTTCTTGAGATAAACAAATCAGTCTCTTCTTTCAATCACGAACAATCTTCATACCAAAAATTTGCTTTGTCGATCCCAAATCTTTCATAGCAAAATACTTGCTCAACTCTAACTTTAACTTGTTAATCATGGTAGAATCTTGACCTAGAATTAACATGTCATCAATATAAAGCAAAAGAATAATAAATTTACCATCCGAAATTTTTTTCATAGACACACAATGATCCGAAGTGGTTTTAGAAAAACCATTATTCATCATGAAAGAGTCAGATTTTTTATACCATTACCGTAGTGCTTGTTTTAGGCCGTACAAACTTTCTTCAATTTGCAAACAAATTCCTCCTTCCCTTCTCTACAAAACTCTCTAATTACTCCATGTAAATTTCTTCCTCAAGGTCGCCATGAAGAAATGTGGTCTTCACATCAAGTTGCTCAACTTCAAGATTCATACTTGTTGCCATGCCAAGTATAACCCGAATTGAAGACATCTTTACAATCAGCGAGAAAATCTCATCAAAGTCAACAATTTTCTTTTGCCCAAAGTCTTTAACAACAAGACGTGCCTTGTACCTTAGATTCTTGTCATTATTATTTAATTTGAAGACCTAATTATTTTTTAGAATTTTCCTTCCTTAGGCAATTCCATCAAATCATAAGTGTGATTTTCAAGTAAGGAATTCATTTCCTCTTCCATGACTTTTTTTCAATCACCTTTATTTGCGTGCTCAATTGCTTCTTAGTAGCTCTTAGGCTCCCCTTGATCGAAAATCAACACAAATTTTTTGGGAGGATACTTTTTCAGAGATTGTCGATCCCTTATAGATTTTCTCAACTCAAGTTGTGATGGCGGTTCTTGAGTTGGATATTCTTCCTCAATTTCGAGCTCAACTTCATTTGGCATAGCATCATCATCTATATCCTCAAGAGCGGACTACATATCTCCGCAATTTTCATCATCCATTGAAGACGAAGGAGATGGATCCATGTCAATGAGATCATTAGTTTTTTGGCTCCAGTTGATCATTTTTGCCAAAATTTTCAATTGTTTGGTCTTTAAGAAACACAACATCACGGCTTCGAATAATTTTTTTGTCGACCGGATCCCACAATTTATAACCAAATTCATCACGCCCATAGCCAAAAAAAAAAAAACATTACCTTGATTTACTATCAAGTTTGGACCTTTCATTCTTTGGAATGTGAACAAATGCCTAGCAACCAAACACTCTCAAGTGTTCATAAGACACATCTTTGTTGGTCCAAATTCTTTCGAGAACATCACCATTCAAAGAATAAGGGGGAGACAAATTGATCATGTCAACCGATATCCTCATTGTCTTACCATAAAAGGATCTTAAATCCTCTCGGCAACACCACTTTGTTGATGAGTTTTCTTAACTATCTTTTGATGTCGAAAACCTTGGCTGCGACAATACTTATCAAATGGCCCAATGTATTTATCACAATTGTTCGTTCGGATGCACTTTAATTTCAGCCTCGTTTCTCTTTCAACTATGGTTAGAAAATGCTTAAACACATTTAGAACTTGATCTTTAGTTTTTAGTACAAAAGCCCAAACTTTCCTTGAATATTCATAAATGAAAGTAATAAAATAAAATATACCACTATGTGTTCTAACTTTCAAATGACCACACACATCTGAATGTACTAACTCCAAAACATTTTTTTTTTTTCTAAAAGTAACATTTTTATGAAAAGAAACTCTATATTTTTTACCCGCCAAGCAATGAACACAAGTCTTAATATGCGTACCTTTCAAACCGAGTAGAAGACTTTCTTGAACAAAACTTGCAACCCCTTTTCACTCATGTGCCCAAGCCGCTTGTGCCACAATTCGGTAGAAGTATCATCCTCAAATACATTGATAACACATTTATAATTTTTTTCTTACATTGAATAAAGTGTGCGAATTTTCTTATACGTAGCCACCATCAAAGAAGCCTTTGTGAGCTTCCATTTTCTATCACCACATTTATTGTTGTAGCCTTCATCATCTAGCTTCCCGGTAAAGATCAAATTGAGGTAAATGTCAGGAACATGCCTCACATTTTTAAGTAACAACTTGCAGTCCAAATTTGTTTCTGAGCAAATATCACCCACGGCAACAATCTTGGATAAACCTTCATTACCTATTCGAACACAACCATAATCTCTTTTGGTGTAGGAAGTGAAGAAATTAACTTGAGAAGTCACATGAAAGGAAGCACCAGAATCAATCACCCAATTGCTCTCTTGACCCACAAAATTAACACAATCATTTTCACAAATAACCATGAGATCACCATCAGTAGTAACCGCAGTTGTGTCTTCTTACTTCGTATCTACACTTTTGTCATGCATTTTCTCCTTGTTCTTGAGCTTTCGCCATTCCCGCTTCATGTGCCCTTTTTCATGACAATAATGGCAATCAATATCTTTATTTGAAAAATAATTATCTCTTCATTTGTCATGGCTTTAATCACGACCATGAGGAGTCTTACTCCTCCCCTTTGTTTTGCTTCGGTCTCTCACAACAAATGCCTCCGAATGAGAAGAACTCGTTGATTTTCTTCTAGTTTCTTCATTCAACAAACTACTAGTGACTTGGCTCATTGTGACAATTCCATCGGGCGCCGAATCACTAACCGTCTCCGAATTTTTGGGTAAGGAACTAAGTAACAGCAAAATCAAAGCCTGCAACTCTTTATCAAAAACAATTTTCATAGAAGCAAGTTGATTAACAATACTCTTCATTTCATTCAAATGTTCTGGAATGGGACTGTCCTCTTTATATTTTAAATTAACCAATTTTCGAAATAGAAAAGTTTTATTTGTAGCTGTTTTTCTATGACAAAGACTTTCTAATTTTTTCCATAAATCATGTGCCGAAATTTCAATATAACATGATGAAGCACACTATCATCAATCCATTAATTGACGGATAACACCAACGGCTTTTCGATTAAACTTCTTCCATTCATTATCTTTCATACTCTCGAGTTTGCCACTATCTCACCCTCAATAGGTCCATACAAATCTTTACAAAATAATAGGTCTTCCATTTTAGTTTTCCAAGTTACCCAATTACTTTTATTGAAGATAGACATACGACCCACATTCTCCTCCATGATTTATACAAATAAATAAATTCAAATAAACCGTAAACTCTGATATCACTTGTTAGGGAAAATAGATTATTTCTCACAAGTAAATCAATCGATCGAAATAAAAATAATGCGAAAAAAATTAAATCAACAACGATATAAGAATTTTTACGTGGCTCCCTCAATGTAAGGTACATTCACGTTACCAAAATCTGATTCTACTACCAACCAAAAGGTTTTAAATGATTACAAATAAAACACAAATGGTCTCACAAACCACTCTTAGGTAAATTCGAAACAATCACAAATAAATAAGACGAAAGGTCTCACCAAATAAATAAATAAATTATCTTCAAAACAAAATTAAAAAAAAAACCTAAAATAATAGACCAAAATCAATCTCCACAACAGAACCTTTGAAGTTGCACTGAAAGTGAGCACTAAACAAATAAGACTGCACCAAGTTCTTTTCTCCCAGCCAAAATACACTGACATTACTTAACAAATTGAACCATCGAATTGGTCCTTCGCAGCAAGCTTATCTCACAAGACACGCTGCACACACGGGAAAAAGAATACTTAAAAAAAATTTATTGATTTTTAGACTTCTTATTAAAGCACTAGTTGTTACTACACAGATTATTAAATACCCATTGAGCTTCTAAAAGTCATATATATTATATAAAAATATATTATAATCAATATCAAACTAAATTATAATTCTTTTAATAAATCAATTGGATCCATACTCCACTACAGTATACCCAACACATCAAGCCAATCCTGAATGACCCTTTGTGTGTGAGTGTTGTTGGACTCTTTTCTCTGGACTAGGTTCAACTTCAAGTTCACGTCTCCCCAACTTTGAGAAATACAAAAGGAGTTTTATTGATGAACAACAAGCTTAATATGAAATCAATTAAGAACATGCAAAGAAAAGATTGGTTACCAAGTTCAAATTCTCTCTGCTCTTTCCAATTGTTTCTTATAGCCAAATGTGAAAATAAAGATTTAAAAAAGGAAAAAGCACACAAAGCCCATATCCTCTAGCTCACTGAGCTTTATGAACATCTTAATTCCTCAAACAAAAACCATACAGAAAGGGGAAGATAATGTTAATTATATATAAATAATTGCATCTCAATCACCATAGGAATTGAAGATAACTTTAATTATATAATTGTAGTTCAAACTTGTACAAAGTAGATATACACAAGAAGCAATCAACCAGCCTAATAACTGATACATACATACATATCTATTATATATACGAACAATACAGTCATCCTGTCCCCACTTGTTCATTATCACCAAATTTCAGACCATTTATTGGTTCAATAATTTCAAAAAGATACATAAAAAAAAAAATTTTACTATCTACCCAAAAAAACTATCGAGAATCTTATCCATAATTAAAATACATAGATAAATTTATTTTAAATGTGACTCACAACACACTAACTTTAAATTTATCGCCTTCCCTATCATTTTGGAGGTAATAATTCTAATTAATAACTAGAATTATTGAAAAAATATACATAAAACACTTAAAAATAAATTGAATTTATGTGTTTGAGTGCAAAATCATCCAGATTTTTCTGGGTAACAGACTTGTGTGATGGAAATTGAATTAATATAATAATGTAAAGTCTAAATATAAAATGAATCTAAATTATAAATTGATATTTTAAAATAAAATTGAAGATAAAATTTCTAAAATCATAATATTACAGATACATGGAGTTATTAATAACTGCCACCCAGCAAAAGTGGCAGTGACGTAAGAATTTCTCCCTCCAAAAAATGGTGATAAGTTTGGAACACAAACACGAGCTCACACACATACACACACACAAGAGAGACAGAAGAGAGTGAAGAATTCAAGAAGATAAGACTCTTTTGTGCGTGTTGCGTGAAAGCAACTTGAGCTTCTTTTGCATGTCATACCCTACTACACCACACATCCACACGGTTACTGTGTAACGGAATATTATATATTTATATATATCTACGTTTTTTTTTTATTTTTAATTTGTTTATAGATCTTGACCACTCAATTTGTGGGCCTACAAAAAATGAATGGACAGCATTTTAAAGTCTTCCAACAAAGTGGACAAAAATCAAATGCAATATAACTCACAAGGTCAAAGGTAGATGGACCATGAATGACACCATGGTGTGTGATGAATTGAAGAGTGGGAAATTCATCAAAATTTTGGGAATAGGAGAATTGTTAAATATGCATTCAATCATTGCTTGATCAACTGCTATATGATCAAAGTTGTGGTTCAGTTAAAAGTCAACACTTATTATTAGGGCATATTGGACATTTGAGTTATTTTTCCATTGGAAATGATATATGAATAATTTTTTTATTTATTTATAAAGAACTTAATATTAATGGTGTGTAGTAATGGTATTTTTAAATTATGCATGATAGCAATAAGTTTATATATATATATATATATATTTCAAATGAAAAGAATTACATTGTTTTAAATTAAGATTAATTATATTTTAGTTGTCAAAATATGTTGTCTCATGCTGCTCCGTAGTATTTAAATTTTGTCAATTTAGTTCTCAATATATGAAAAGTATTTCCATTGGTTCTCTTAACCTAACTCTATTTTATAGACGTTATAGTCAATGTAAAAGTGGAAATTCAATTAGGACATTTGGTGTAGTGATTTTATAACACATACTGTGGTATGAGATGGTGCGTTAAATTCTTATAGAGAGAAGTTTGAGATACCCTTTGTGATGGTATTTATTTCCCCCATACTATGGAGGTGATGGATACTAGTATGATATTAATATTCTCATAATTGTAATTCCTATCGATTGACCAAAAAAAAAATCAAAATTCAATTAAAAGTTACATTTTTAATCTCCAAAGTATGTGATCTATATTATTTTGTTTCTTAATATTTAAATTGTATTAATTTGATTTGTAATGCATAATAAATGTTTTAATTTGATTCCTAAACTTATTTTGTCTCTCTCACTCTCTATAACTAAGGTAAAGCGTAGAAATCATAAAAACAAATCATCAAAAAAAAGAAGGGAAAAAAAAAAGAAAAGAAAAGAAAAATGAAGCCAACAACTTTGGAAGGAAATATTCTCGTTAGTACAAGAAAATGTAATTTTGCAACAACTTTTCACAATACCAAAAATAATTGTCACCCAAAATTTACTTTTCGTAATGAAATGAAATTATCATCCCCAATAGTGTTTTTATTTGAAATGAAAAATCACAACAAAAAAAAAAGTAACCTTGTTTTAAATGTATTTGAAAAAAAAATTATGTGTCATCAACAAAGTTTATGTTTTGTATTGTTTTCATTCTTCAATCTTTTATAAACAAAAAATAATGAAAATTTAAAAATATACATCATCCTTATTTGGAGTTAAAATAGATTTGAAAAAAATTCAAAAATAACTTCTTCATGCTTTCTATAGAGGGGATAGTTTTCAAAAAGATCCCCTAAATAATTTTCATAAATAATTTGGTCAACAAGTTTTACATGTTTCTCGAAAAATAAAGATAAAAACAAAACAAAACAAAACAAAACAAAATTCACCTCATAGACGGATTTACACACTAAAAATAAATTTAATATATATATATATATATTTATTTATCATATCCAAAAATACCATTATTTTCTTATGCGATTTACTATCAAGCTTGGACCTTTCATTCTTTGGAATGTGAACAAATGCCTAGCAACCAAACACTCTCAAGTGTTCAATCCTAGCAGCCACAGCACACAAGGGGAAAACAATACTAAAAAAATATTATTGATTCTTGAATTTTTTTTATCAAAGTCGTAGTTGTTACCAGACCTATTATTAAATATTCATTGAACCTCTCAAAGTCAAATATTTTCCTTCAACCTCCACTTCATACTCTATGTTCTCCACTTTATTCTTCATCATCTTTTCACATTTCATAACTTCTCATAACCTCCAAATAAGTAAGAGATGCCACATATTTTACAATCATATAAATAATAAATAATAAAATTATATATTTATGATGCCAATACAACCATAGCCTGATTGAACTTGGGTTGCCCGTCATCCAAGTTGCACTCCAAAAGGTGATATGAAAAGGATCGTTATCGTGTCTTAAAGGTGCGAATAAAGAAAATAGTTAAATTTTGTTCACATACCGACACAAAATGCAAGTTGTAATTAGTTCAAAATGATAAAATTCACAATTTAAGTGATGTTAACAATATTTTTAAATATTAAGCTTATAGTTTTAGACTAATCAAATTATAAAAACATATATATTGATACGAAACTAGTGTCAAAGAATCTAATTATAAAAGACTCAAACTATGCTCATCAAGAAACAAACACTTTTAGTGACCATTTATCAAATTTACAACCAAGAAAAAAAAAAAATACAACACTATCTTTATTTTGTTCTTTGAAATTAACCCTGCTCTCTACTCTCTTCTATTTTTCTCTCCCTCAATTTATTTACTTAGCAAAATAATAAATAAATTATAAAAATAAACATAAAATAGCTTACAAGTTACAACCCCCATGTGTTTCCGCGTATGTATGTCAAATTTTCACCACCCCCATCCTCACCCCTCACCCTCGCATCTCCTTGCATCCGGAATCTGACCCACATACCCGCCCCTCCCGCCGACAACTTCTGCAATCTGACCCACAGATAAGCTCAGCTCAGATCACTTTCCCAACCCCCACCCCCACACACTCCCACATTTTTGAAACTCTTGCGATTGAGAGACCTTCTCATTTCTCTTCTCTTTCTCATTCACTCACTCACTTACTCACTCAACCATCCCCACCGAAGATGGCTTGTTTGTTACAATCTCATAACCACTCGCTTCATCTTCATCATCATCTTCGTCTCCATCATCATCATCGTCATTGTTTTGATCAATATTTTCGCTATCGCGATCTTCCTCGGGCCGGTGTTGTTGTTCTTGTTGAAGTGGCCATTGTTGTTCTGGTTGAACCATTATTGGCACCATTGGATTTTCAGGCTTTATACCAGCAAACCCACCACCAGGATTGAAACAATTCGTACTATTATCAATCTTTGCTTTCTCTTTGTATAGAGCATCAAGCTGGTGAAAATATGGACAAGTCTTTGAGTCCTCGGGTCTCTTCTTGTTGCTCTCTTTTACCTTCTTGAAGTACTTGTTTATGTTCTCCCATTTCTCTTTGCATCTCTTTGGGTTCCTGTTGTATCCGATTTTGCACATTGCATTTGATATTTCTTCCCACAGAGGCCCTTTGGGTCCGTTTTCTTGGTACTTGAGATCCAGATTTGTCCGAAGACTAATCAAAGCTTCAACTTCTGCTTTTGGCCATCTAGAAGAGCTCGGCGAGGCTAAATTCTCACCTCCATTATCAGTTTTGGGATTAACAAGACTTTTTGCAGACGATTGTATTGGTGGTTGTAGTTGGAGTGGCGGCTGTGGTGTTGGTTGTACTATTGGTGGAGGTGGTTGTACTGCTGCTGGTTGTTGTGGTTGTGGTTGTGGTGGTGGTTGTTGTACTGCTGCTGCTGGTGGTGGGATGGGATTTTCTTGGGTGTGTACTTGCATCTGCATTTGAATTTGGGGCACATTCGGGATTTGTTGTTCAGACACTTTCTGCAAGAATGCAATCACAGCAGCTTCTTTCGCAGCCGCAATGGATCTTTCTTGGACTAAAAGATCATGCTCTCTATTCATTCTAGCCATTTCTTGTACCTTCCAAGCCTCTTCTCTCGCCAATCGATCTCGTTCGCGGCTTTCCAATGTCTCCAGAAATTGCTTCTGCATCTCCTCTTGCTTCTCAATCACCTCCTGCATTAGCCTCTGGAAAAAGCTCTCCCATTTCCTCTTCCTCTTGCCCCGCCTCTCGGGCTCTTCGTCTGATGAAGTTGAAGAAGACGACGAAATAGATGCAAAACTTGAAGACATATTCGGATGAGACGATGGAATTGGAGTACTTTGAGAAAGATTTATAGGGTTTGGAATTGTGGTGGTTGTTGCGGGCACCGGCTGTGGTGGTGGTGGTGGTGGAAATGGGTTTGATGGAAAAGGATTTGTAGGGTTTATATTGAGTGATACACTAATAGGGTTTGCTGTTGATGGAACAGTGACTTGTGAGACGATTGGAAGATTAGCACTCGCCGGCATTGCCATTGACATTGGCATTGCGACCGCCACCGGATTCGGTGATTGTGCTGCCTGATGGGTTTGAGATCTTGGCGGTGGTGGAAGCAACGAAAGTGGTGGCTGGCTTTCGAGGGCCTCTAGTTGATCGAAAAACCGATAGGTCTTGCCATCGGGTTTTGTTGATCGGCCTTCTTTGGTTCTCTTGTGGTACTTGTAAACGTTCTCGAATTTTTCTTTGCATTTCTTGGCGCTTCGGTGAAAACCAAGGTCGGCTAGTTTCCTGAAAACAAACAGTACAAAACGAAAACTCCATTTCTGTTCTTAATTATTCAATAAATCTTAAAATCTATCATTAAAACAAAATCTAATAGGATTTCCACATGAAATAAGCATGATAATCAAAACAATAATTAAAACAAGAAAAAATTGGGTGAAAAAAGTAGAAAAGGAAAGGTAAAATACCCAGAAAAAGATGGGTGAGAAATATCAAGCAGCTTCAATCACATTTTTTTCTACGGAAACAAACATAAAATTTAAGATTCAAAAATTATTTTCTTCGTCCTCTCAACATCTTGTTCTCGTCTGAGCTGAATTGTACTGAATTATAAGTGAGGAGATTAAAAGACGGACACAAATTGAAAAAAAAAAAAAAATCGTGAATTGTGAAAGCGAATAATCATAAATTTTCCTGCTAGAATTGGGAAGAAAATGAGAGAAAAGAAAGTAAACCCGAACACCAAACACCACAAAACTTTAGAATTCTGTGAAGAACTTTGAACTGAAAATCAAAACTGAGTTGCAAATTCGATCTGCAGATCTCAAAGATGTATCTAAATCGAAAACCCAACTTGAATTAATAAGTAGTGATTGAAATAGAAATATTAAATCAAACCGAATCTATATAAAATTAATCAAATCACCTGGAAACTTGTTCCCATAATGGGCCTTTAAGACTGGAGTCACGAAACGCAACGTCCATATCGGACCTTATCTTCAACAGAGCCAACGTTTCCTGACGAGGCCACCGATTTCCACCCGAATTCCGATCTCCTTCTTCAATTCTCAACTTTTCTTCTTCACTCAAACCTGCCGTACTTGACCCAGCAACACCCACTTCACCGCCGCTGGTGGTGGCGGCGGAACTTTCGTGAGGTTGGGGAGCATCACCACCGGAGTTTCCCAAGATTCCTGAAACGCCCAGCATCGCGCGCGTCTCTCTGTATCTCTCTCTGTGCAATTACTTACAGCCGAAAAATAAAATAAAATAAAATAAAATAAATATATGGAAATGATGGTGAATTCTGGGGGTTTTATGGAGATGGGTGTGTGGTGAAATTATTTATTTATTTCGGTGGGATCTGCCTGTCAATCTCACCTCCTCTCCTCAAAATAAAAATTCAAAAGAAAAACAAACAATTCTTTTCTTTTTATAGCTGTGGAATCTCCAGTCTCTCCTTTTTTTTCTTTTTTATTTTTCTCTGTCTCTCTCTCTCTCTTTTTTAAAGAACACCAGAAGGATCACTTGGGTTGTCTCAGTAAAGAATAAAAACTGATCGGAAAGATAAAAAAACATATAAATAAATATATATAATAAAAAAAAAGGAAAAAGAAAATTTGGTGTAGACAGAGAGAGGGGTATAGAGAGAGAGAGTAATGGGAAAATGATCAGTAGGAGGGGGAGGAACAGGTGCAGATAGCGACGATGGTGATAATAAGTTGGTTTTTGTCTGTCCAGCTAAATATAGTTAAAAGTCGGCCCATGTAGGTCAGCTTTGCTTTTTGAGAGTTTTGGATTTCAGTGGGAGGCTCTTGTTGCCTGCCTACACCTTGTGTGTTTGGGAAAATTATTCAATATTTTCCAAATATTACGTTTGTATTTTTTAATTAATTATTATTTAATATGTCTCTTTATATTTTTTAATTACTCAATATGATATCTCATTTATTTATCTTCTCTATCAATTATAATATTATAAATACCACGTATTTATATTATGAGATTACTGAATAATTACTCATGTATTTGTGTGTGTGAGAGGGGGTGGTAGAGTTAGATTTATTGTATTTGTATACAAAAATATTAGAGATTTAAAAAGTTTTATTAAATTTTTTATTAAATATTTTATATAAGTATGAGATTTACATGATGTAAATCACACATTCATATGAGACATTTAATAAAAATTTTGATAAAATTTTCTAAATTTCTAACATATTCATTTACGGCTTGTTTGGAAAGTTGCTATTGGGAAGTTAGTTTTGATGGGTTAGGGGCTAAAATAGCTACAAAAAAACAAAATAGGCTATTTTAGCCACAAAAAACAAAACATCAAATCTAACCCATAATTATTACACTCTTCTCTCACAAAAAAAAGTCGAAAAATTCAAAAAGTCAAAAAGTCCTTCCCAAATCAAGCTTTTTAGTCCCACACTAAAATAATCAAAAAGTTAAAAAGCCAACCCACTTCTCAAACGGAGGCTAAATGACTTTCTTAGCCCCTAACATGTTTTCCACCCATTGACCTTTCATCATTAAAAAGCTTTACCTCTCTGATTTTTTTATTAGATTCACATTTTTTTCTACGGAAACAAACATAAAATTTAAGATTCAAAAATTATTTTCTTCGTCCTCTCAACATCTTGTTCTCGTCTGAAAGTAACAAATCAATAGAGATTTGTAAAAGTAATTTCAGGTTAATGAAAATTTTTATAAATATTTTCATAAAATAATAATTATTTTTTAAAAATTCCATTGGGGTGTGATTTCCTTTTCTATTTTTTTTTTTTTATGGTTGTTTTACCCTTTTTCAAAATACATTGGCTCAAAAATTAGGACATTGTCTGGTAACGCTTCTATTTTTTTGTTTACTGTTTTCTTTTTATTTTTATTTTTTTTAAATATATAATGTAAACTTATTCAGTATATTATTTTCTATTTTGAAAAATTGAAATTGATTCTAAATTTTTTTAAAAAAATTAGAAATGGAAAATGATAATTCTTTTCTTATTTTCAAAATAAATTTTCAATTTTTTTCTCTCCCCTCTACCACCTATCACCACTACCCACCACCAACCTCCAGCCAATCAATCACCGTCGACCTTGAACCAGTTACAACCACCTTCTAGCCTATCATTGCCGAGCTCAAATGAGCTTCGGCCACCACGATGACCAATTTGGCCACCACGATGACCAATTTGGTCACCATCATGACTCCTGACCACCTTTCTGTGACCTTTCAATTAGCCACATCCGTTCACTCTCCACCACCACCCACCACCTCAATAACTCACACAACATTTTTTCAATATACCAAACAAGTTTTATTTTATTTTTTTATAAGGAAAAAAAAAAAACAACATTATCAAATGATTCCTAAATAATTGTGATTATAGTGTTGTCAATTTTCTAATTTCCATTTACAGAAAATAAGAAAAATGTTTTTATTGTTTTGGTAGAAACAAAAATATAAAACTTGTTTGATACACATAAATGTTTTGAAAACATATAAAAATAAAAATAAATAAAGATATATTTGGTGAGTTATTAAGGGCATGGCTAGCGGTAAAGGGTGGCCGAAGATAGTGACCAATGACGGGAGGTGGCCGTAGTTTATGAAAACATGGATATCTCCAAAGGTGGCTAGAGGTCATTAGTGGTAAGGTGGCTAGAGGTGGTGGTTTGTGGTTGAAAGAGGCGATAATAAAAAATAAAAATAAAAAATTTCATTGGAATGAAAAGTTATTTTTGAAAATAACAAAATACACCTTCTTTATTTCAAAAGTTTTGGAAATTTTGAAACCGATTGCATTTTTATCAAAAACAAAAACAATATAGCCAATTTTTTATTCTTAATATCTAAAATTAAAAAACAAAAAACGAAAAATATAAAACGAAAATGTTACCAAACAAAAGCCTTTAATTTTTCAACTTATTAGGAGATACTATGGAGCTCATGAAGCCACGCAAGTCAGCTAGGCCTACCAGACCGCGACATGTTGTAATTATGAAAAAAATTTTAAAAAAAAAATCTTAAAGAAAAAAGAGAGAGAAAAAAGAAAAAGCCTTTTAAATGAAGTTAATTAGAAGTAAGAATTATCAAGTTTTGGTGGATCCAGAGTTGAATTAAACTATAGTTAGATCTAGGAGTGTTGTTATTAGGCAAACCATTTATGAATAGAAGTAAATAGTGACAAATTCAGTTAGGATGCAACCTACCGTAATAAATGGGAGCTATAAAAAAATTTAAATCAAAAAAATCAAAAACCACTCTTATATATATATAATTATATGATGATTCATTTCATTCACTCATTCACTCATAATTTTTGAATTATTGAAAAAAATGAGGGGCCATGCTGATTTGGTAGCTTCTCAACTTGAGCTTGCTTCTCTTTTTTTTGTTAAATGCGTGTCTTATTATCCTAACAATTTTGTCTACCCTTGTGTCCCTTCCTTATTCAATTTCCCAAGTTAATTAATTTACACTTCAGTGATTATTAATCATTTTTTTTTTTTTGGCATGAAAACAAAATTCTTAATCATTTGTAAGGTATTCGACATATGGGTAAGTGTTTTAAAACTTTTTTACCGGGAGTGAAAAATCTTAACAGATACATGGAAATAATATGCACACACAAATGAAAAGATTTGAACAAGAGAGCGAGGACCATTAGTTTTCTCTTTGATAATTTGTAAATAATTCTCTATTGACTCACATAATAAAATTATTAATTAGTTGTAATCTTGATAAGGTTGATAATTATTGATTACTTTTCTTTAGAAGAACTCAAACAAAGTAAACACATAAAAACAAATATTTCTAAAGACTATTTAGAAAAATATTTTCTTTTTTAATAATTACAGAAAATTTTTACACTAAAATATAACATAATTTAATTGGTTGTTTGAGAATACAATTTTTTTATTATTATGAAGTCAAAAAATAAATAAATAAAATTGCAATAATTATTAAAGAACCATTTTTCTCTATAAAGCAAAGTGGATACATGTGAAAGTAAAAAAATGTTGAGGCAGACCAAACAATATTGATAAGGAAACATTTGGAAGGAGGTGAGGTGATTGAGAAGACTATTTTAAAAAATAATTTTTTTAACAATTGCACAAAAAACTTGGGAAAAATAATAAATGATTGCACATTTCTCATTTATGCTCACTTGCACTCTATTGATTTATAATTATTTTATTTAATTTCTATTTAACTGATATTCGCCCAATTTTTTACATTAAAAATAGATAAAATAGCATAATTTGATTGGTAGGGCTTGGAATTACACTAGTTACACAGTAAAAATTATTAAAGAAAAAAACAGAAAGAAAAGAAAGGGCTAATCAATGAATAATCCAAAGAAGTGGACCCAAGTAGATCAATAAGCCATTAAATGCAAACAAATCACCAACAAATTATTAACTTAGAAAACAACATCATCATTCATTAGGTGTACAAATCAGATAAGAAAGATCATGGGCATCATGTACAGGGGCAATTTGGTCCAAAAGAAAAAGTAAGAAGCAAGGTTATGGAAGGGCATATTGGTAAAATTTAGCGGAAGTGGGGTTGGAGAAGTATGGTAGGTAAACATCAAAGGCCAATGGGCACCGTTTATATGTATTTTGTGAGGAGAGAGAGAGAGAGAGAGAGAGATGAATGGTACGTAATTGATGATGAGAAGACTACACATTTTCTCTATCTAAAGTATATGTTTTCTCTCTCTATATCTATATACATGCATATATCATGCCTTTCATCTCAGCCATTCAATATATAAAATTTTTCAAATAGATCACTCATTTAAAAAAATTAAATTATTAACTTAGAAAACAACATCATCATTCATTAGGTGTACAAATCAGATAAGAAAGATCATGGGCATCATGTACAGGGGCAATTTGGTCCAAAAGAAAAAGTAAGAAGCAAGGTTATGGAAGGGCATATTGGTAAAATTTAGCGGAAGTGGGGTTGGAGAAGTATGGTAGGTAAACATCAAAGGCGAATGGGCACCGTTTATATGTATTTTGTGAGGAGAGAGAGAGAGAGAGATGAATGGTACGTAATTGATGATGAGAAGACTACACATTTTCTCTATCCAAATTATATGTTTTCTCTCTCTACATCTATACACATGCATATATCACGCCTTTCATCTCAGCCATTCAATATATAAAATTTTTCAAATAGATCACTCATTTAAAAAAATTAAATTTACATGATCGATTTATATATATATATATATAAAAAAGAAGAAATAATTGTATAGTGGTGCAATAAAAAAAAATACAAACAAATGAAATAATATAATATTTAAATTATTAAAATGTATAATCTTTCCAACTAATTTATATATATATTTTTTTTTTGCTGCACCACTGTATAGTTATTTCTCTTAAAAAAATAAATATATAAGACATAATTTGATCGATCATATTTCATATCTAGAATTGTTAGAGCATTTATTTCATCATCATCATATTTCATATCTAACTTTTTAAATCATATTTCATCATCTATTTATTAATCACAAATGTGATCCAATAAGGTAGTTGATATTTGATCGATCAAATTTTTTTATGAACAATCTGTTCAATAAGACATAATTTGAATGATCCAAATTACTAAAA